AGACGACTGGATACAGGTTTAGACAGACCAGTGGTCTGACCCAGTATGGCTGCTCTTGTGTTAAGTGAACAGCCTGTGGGCAAGTGGGAGAGCTGAGGCAGAGCTGCAGGTGGAATGAAGAGATCAGGGCGAGGAAATGTGCATAAAGCGGGGTGTTGTCAGCATGGGAGCGAAAGGCCCAGAGGATGAGTGTGGGAGACTGAGGGGAGGAAGTGAGAGAGCCAGGGGGTGAAATCCAAGAGCAAGGCAGATGGGGAGGAGCTGGGGGGATGGTAGATGAGGACAAGGTGGAGTTAGGAGAGGGAGAGTTGGATGCAGGATTGCAGGGAGGGGCTGGAAGCATTGATTACTGGTAGGTGGCTTGGCCTAGGGTGGCTGTTTCGGCAGCTTAACTTGCTCTCCATTGGAACTACCAACAAACCCGGCCTGCTGGCGAGAGAGAGACACCCACACCCACCCACCCACCCCCCAGGCTACCCCCTGCTGCTGGTTGCCTGACCTGACCCCACACTTGATCCATAGGGCTCTAGACCTGCAGGTATAATCAGCCTGTCTCCCCATCCTTTCAGGTCCACCTCTTCGATGTCTCCGCGACGCCTGTGCCAAGGCATCACCAAGGCCGGGCAGCCATGCCGGAAGAAGGCCGTTCCCGGACAGGAGTTTTGCCACGTTCACGTATCTGGACAAGTATCCTACACCAGCTGAGCCTTGGGGCTCTCCGTCTAACCTGTGCAGCCGCTAGGTTAGTCTGGACCTTGGGTGGTTGGCCAGGAACCTGTGAACTCCTGGAGTGCAGCTGGGGCCCCACCCCCACATCTCAGCAACAGCCATTCTGTGGCATTATTTTAAACACTGCCTTTGATTTTAATGTGTACGTTTGATTGGAGGGACTACGGCTGCTGAGGGCTGGCAGCCCCTGCCTGGCAGCTTTGCTAGGGTCTCGTGGGGCTTCTTTGAGGAAATTTCCATTTTAAATAGACCCCCCCTGCTCTGTGAATGTTCCAGCCAGTCTCAAATGCTTCAGCCCCTGGCGAAAGTTGGGGATCCCATGAAAACGGCAGATGAGGAGCCTCTACGTTCACACTGACTCAGGAGCCAGTGGACTCTGTTTACAAGTCCAGCTGGCTTGTCCAGTGGCCACAGCTGCCCAGCTCCAGCTGGGTGGTTCTGGCCTGCCCCACCTCTGCCAGCCATTGAGACGCTCATCCGGGCTCAGCTGAGCTGGTAGAACAGACTCCAGCTCCGTCAGCACCATTGGGACAAATCTCTTGTCCGTAGAGATGCCTGGGGTCAGAAGGTGCCATGTTGGTAGCCAAGTTTTATATGAAAATCTGCAGTTTGCACATTGGTTTAATAAACAACGTTTATCTACTGCTGGGATTTCTGTGTCTATCTCAAAAGAAACCTGAGAATTCCTGGGCTGTGGACAGGGGCTAAATGGGGATGGGGTTGTATTAATTTAGATGGAATAAAAGTGTTAAGACCTTGACTGTCCAACATTAAACAGTATTAACCAAGGTGTGGGGTTAGGTGTATCTCCATATATTTATACCAATCTCATAGCACTGCAAGGGACCTTGAAAGGTCATCGAGTCCAGCCCCCTGCCTTCACTAGCAGGACCAAGTACTGATTTTGCCCCAGATCCCTAAGTGGCCCCCTCAAGGACTGAACTCACAACCCTGGGTTTAGCAGGCAATGCTCAAACCACTGAGCTAGCCCTCCCCGCTCTTGAAACTACAGTTGATGTTTTTTCTCCTCTTCTGTCTGTCAGTGGTTAGCTTCCTCTTGACTATTTCTCTGCCCCCCCCCCCAAAAGTATTTTCTTTTAAGGGCCCCAAAAGGGAGCGATGGGTGGAATAGCCCGTCCTCTCATGATTTCATTTGCCAATTAGGCCTATTTTCAACACAAATTTAATCCATTGATTTTTGGCCACTGCACCTTGTTTATCTGCCATGATCTTAACACAGTCCTACAGTCACAGCAGTGGACTCTACTGGTTTAAATTAATTCCATGTCTCCTTAAATATTTTTTCTCAAACAATTTATATGACAGGCCATTAGGACAATCCATGAACCTTTACTCACTGGGCCAGTTCTAAATTAAAGTAGGCCTGGCTAGACCTCATTTACTGCACCGGGGGGGTAGTAGGAAACCTGACCTAGGGGGGAGGGAAACTGAGGCTTGTGGCTGTTTCCTATCCCACCTTCCTCCCTCTTTTCCCAAGCTCTGTGCCTGTTCCAATGTGCTGGCACTTCGGCTAGTTGAAAGTAAGGGTGATGCTGGCCAGTGGGTGGTAGGAGAACAGGGCTGCAGTGAAGCGCGGGGGCTGGGAAGATGCTCGTTCGCCCTGAGGAGAGGAACAGTCAGCAACGGTAAATCTGGGCTATGGGACCTCCTGTTCCCTCAACAGGCAGCTGTTCAGATTCTCTAGCCCAGCATTTCTCAAATGGGGTGTGTAGGTGTGTGTCCATGACACCTCTAAAGCAGGGTTGGAGATTGGGGGAGGGGCAAAGCCCCTCGCTGCAGCACACGGCTGTTACTCCAGAGTAGCCGTTACCACGAGCAGTGAGAGATGTGCTGCCTTAGCGTTGGCTTCGGCAGCACCAGCAGGGAGCAGCTGCTGGAGACTCATAGGGGTGGCATGCCTGGCGCCAGAGGCGGTTCTGGTCAGCGGAGGCAGCCGCAGCATTCGGTTGCTGGGGCACTCCCCAGGGCAGCTCCACTGCTCCCGCCCGGCCAGGGAACAGGGTGCCTGGGACCCCACAAGTGGCCAGTGAGTTCCTGACCCCCCCTAGGGCAGGCTCACGACAAAGGGCTACGGGAGCCAGGGACAGAGAGGGGTTTGTCAGAATGGCCACGTAGCGAGGCGGTGGGATACCCCACTGCCCCACTGAGGGCCAAACCTCCCCTAACACCAACGTAGGCAGAGACACCGGGTCTGGCGCCCGCCCCTCAAAGGTCACGGTGCCGACCCGGAAGTATAAAAGCCCGCCTGCAGAGCTCAGTGGAGAGCAAGCCGGCGGGGAGAGCAGACATCTGTGGCCGAGCTCCCACTTGGGAGACAGCAGCAGGCCGTGACCGGCCTGCTGACTCACCAGGCCTGCCGAGCCTATCCCTCGCCCGGTATCCTGAGGAGGACTGGCCAAGCCTGCCCCTTTCCCGCTACCCCGAGGAGGAGCCAAGCCTGCCCTTTGCTACCTACCCAGAGGAACCGATGCTGGTGGAGAGCACCAAGGACACTAGTCTGGCCCAGGTACCCTACGAGGAGGAGTGCGGAAGTAGCCCGGGGGCAGCCGACCCCCGTCTGGCTGCTGCACTGCCAGAGCCGATGTCAGTGTGTTGCTGCCAGGATCCCCACTGACAGCAGCGAGTTTCCGCCGCTGCTAGGGCCCTGGGCTGGGACGCAGTGGAGTGGGAGGGCCTGCGTCCCCCCTGCCACCCACTCCTTGGGTGGCAGACTCCCCCTTTCCCTGGCCTAGAGAGGCGGAGACCTGCTGCTACAAATATTGACTCAGCCCCTGCTTAAGGGCCTGGGTTCCTGAGCTACGGACTCAGCCCCTGCTTGAGGGCCGGAGCTCCGGATTGCGTGATTACTGCCCTGCCCTGATTGAGGGGTTGGGGCTCTTTTCTGACCTATTGGCTCAGTCCCTGCTTACGGGGCTGAGCCCCTAACTGTGTGTCTGCTATCCCAGACTGCCGCCAGACCAGGACTGACGGTGGACCAGAGCGAGGCGGTGGGACACCCCACAGCCCCGCTGAGGGCCAACCCTCGGCCGAGACTACAGGCCACCAGGAAGAGTTGGTGGCTGCACTGAGGTCCCCAGAAACATTTGTGAGAAAACTAAAGTTGGGCCCAGGCCAGGTTAGCTCCTGAGTGACCCAGGCAAACATCCCTGCAGAGACTGAACTAAAAGGCAGGGATGGAAGGGGATTTTCCTTGCTCGCTGTGTGCGCAGCTTGGGCCAGTGCAGGGATAACAGCAAACCAACGGGCCGCTGCTGTTCCTCGCAAAGGGGAGGGAGGGCGGCCACAGCATCTGAGCCTCCCTGTTGACACATCACCGTGCTGTCAAATATGCTTTGTGCTGAGAGCCGCTGGAAGAACCCAGGGGTGGGAGTGTCTCTAATGCTAAACTTACTGGTGCCTTGGTTTAGTGCCGGCCTGCTCCAAAGGCAACGCTCATTGCTAACAGAGGTGTATATCGTTTCAACACCCCTCCCCCACAAAAAGCCTGTCTGTACCTAGGTGTTGGAACACAGTCCATGAATTGCTGGTGCAGACAGAAAGGCTGTAACAGTGGCTGGAGAGTGAATGTTTCACAGTTTAAGAGCTACACAGCTGGGCTTGTTCCCTTTCTGAAAGAGACCCTGGGGAAATACTTTTGGGGAAAGCAGTTGGCCTAGGAGACTGGAACATGGGCACACCTCACGCCAGCCCTTGCGCAGCTGCAGACATTCATGGTAGATTGTGGTGGCATCTCCCAGGAAAGCTTCCTGTGTGAGTCTAGGGGACTGCACGTTCTCACAGGGTAGGTGATGGGAGCATCTTCACAGTGGAGGGTTAGCAACAAGACTAAATAAAGCAGCAGCTGTAATAGATCTTGTCCTCTCTCTTGTTGCTCTGCAGGAGAGCACTGGAAGCTCCATCACCTGATTTAAAATAAGACAAGGCACCAGAAGGTCTTGGGGACAAGTCCACACTGATCAGAGGGATACCCTAGAAAGCCTGCAGACCTTCCACTTGACTTCTTCCAAACATCTGTGACAATAGTAGTTACAGGGGCATGGATGGGCACCTGCTTTGGCTACAAAACTTATCTCCCCCACCCTGACGTTCTAACCCTAGGGGAGAAGGCAAGATTTCTGATGAGCAGCACCAGGCCCTGGCAACGAGCGAGGGAGTGTCCCGGGAACGTGACATACAGCTGGGCTGCCCATGCCCTGGTTCAGGATTAACACTCGGCATCTTGTTTTTACAAAAGCATAAACACAAGGGAAAAAAATCCACTTCGATTTATTCTGAATCTAATTACAGACTGCTTTACACTTGATTGGCAGCCTGACCCATTACAGCGTAACACCAGCATGGGCAAGGGAAAGGGACCCAGCAAGAACAGTGGTGAGGTTGGATGGAGAGGGGGCTCTGTCTGTTTTAAAAATATTCATTACATGATGCCAAGGCAGCATGTAAACTTCCCGGTACCTCAACCTGCAGGTCCAACCCTCCGGCCTCTCCCAGGGCAGTGTCTTTGGGGGAAGCTCAAGAGGGTTCTCACTAGGCAAGACTTCCCTTACTAAGCTCCTTTTGACCGAAGCGAGATCTGAACCTGAGGGGCTCTTCAGGCTGTAGTTCCTGGGATATTTAGAACCACAGGGAGGAATAGTGGAAGCATTGCGGGGGATGCCTCAGTCTTTGCATTTCTGGAACCTTTTAACAAAGATTCACTTTGATCCCTGAACAGAGAGTTTCTCCCCATTCCACCCCACGAAGTTCTACACCCCTGGCTGGCTGAGATGACTAGTAGTGTGAGTCCTGTGTCACAGAGAAAGACAGGGTATCTCCACCCCTAATGCTACACATTTCTCACTCATGTTTGCTGAGCTTATCAGTGATTTGGCCATTCAGGATCTCTCTGCCCCCCAATTCCATTCCCCACCCCTCTCAAATTCTACTTTGGAAAAGCTGTATCTCCAGCATCATTTCACAGCCCCAAACGCCCTCACGCGTCCCCTCCTCTGCTCCAGCAAAGGAAAACCCTGAGTCTCAGAGGAACCTCCAGGGCAGTGTTGGCCGCTAATCACAACGGCTTTGGTGTGCTGGTCACTTCCGGGCGATGTCATAGTGCGCGTTGAACCAGTCGCAAGTTTCCTTCACAGCTGGAGGGGAAGGGGAAAGACAATTAGACCCCCATACAGCCCGAAGCATCACAACCAGCGGCGGCTCCCTCCCTCCCTCCAGTTAACGCTGTGCCACTGGCCGCTGCTTACGGAGCTAGGAGGAGTGGAATAATCATTGTCACCATGCCAGAGGAGGAGGAAATGGACCAGGGAGATGAAGTGACCCCATCTAAAGTCTCAGAGCTGGGAACAGACCCCACAAACCCGAGCCCCCAGGCCAGTGCTTCAATCACTGCACCGTCCTGCCCCTACAACCAGAGCCGCTACCTCTGCTCACGGGTTTCTCACAGCATCTCTTTAGACACTCGCTGCCTTTGCGTTCTTGGTGCATGCACCACGGTGATGCCTGAGGCTGTGGGACCAAGTTCCCAGCACTCGCGGGAGGGAGAAGTCCTTCCCCACAAATCCTACCTGACTCCTTTGGAGGGCAGAGGTGAGATCAGACATACGCAGCCGATGCAGTGCAGCGGATGTTCCCACCGAGGGGCAGGAGAGCGAGAGCGACTCCTGACCAGCGCAGCCTTCGAGTCTTACCTTGTTTGAACGGCGTGAACTGGAAGTCGGGCAGGCACCGCCTCAGCTTGCCGTTGCTGGCTGTTTTCTTGAACTGGCCGTCGGATTTTGTCGTGTCAAACTGGACACAGCGGGGGGTAAGGGAAAACAAACGGGAATTCTGCGGAGTGCTCCGGGGCGACCCCTACTGGTAGCAGCCAGGCAGGACAAGAACTAGGGCCTTGGTAGCAAAGGTCTACTTTACGTGTCCCTTTCTGTAAGGTTTGCAGCTATCTCAGTCCTGCCAGCAGACCCTGGGCCTTAACCAGAAGGTCTTGCTGTTGGTTAGTCCTGAACAGCCAGGCGCAGGGGTGAGCAGAGAGAGATCCCACAGGAGGGAGATCCCTCGCGCCCGTTGTTTGCAGGGAAGAGGCTGACAATAAAGGGAGCCCCTAGCCAAACCTGGAACGTCCAGTGCGAGCAGCAACTGCGTTCACCATTTCAGGTGCACCACGAATGGAAGCCGCTGTCTCCAAGGAGACCCCGGGAGATCTGATCACCATCAGATCGCAGAGACCTTGATGGCCCCAACTTCCAAGCACGGATCGAACATCCATGGAACAAGCTCTCCAGTCAGAGACGACCCACGGGAAGCGGTGGGAGTCCCATCGCTTGAGCCATTTCACACTGGATCAGACTGAACATTGGAGAACATGCCGCAGGGAATAATCTTGCACCGGATCAGCTGGGAATTAAGCCTTAGATGTTTGGATGCGACAGTTCTCCCCCTCCCGAGGGTGCACGCGAGTGTGGAGAATGGGTGCCAGGCAAGGATCCTGAGAGCCGGGCACAGCTCAGGGAGGCAGGGCATTGCAGCAGTCATTTGTAAAAGGATACAATGAGTTCTCCCTTGAAATCCATGGCTTCCACGACGTTCTCCGCAGCTTCCCTGATAGAGACCTCGTCTTCTTCTCCAACTAAACAGAGAGCAAGGGTGAGGCTAGGCCGCTCTGTGGTGCTAGCCACAATGCTCAGGTAAGCCTCGTCGCCGCCCGCTCCGCTCTCGTAGCCACTTCCCTTCCCTTAGAGATGGGAGGGTGGGGGATTAGAGCCTGTGGCCGCCTCATGCCACCACTGCGGGCTCTAGATCAGAATGTGGGGGGTGCTGAGGAGAGGGGCATCCTGCATTGACCCTGCTACAGAAGGCGATGGGACGGCATGGGGAGGAGTGGGGACATGGGACTTTCCCTCCCAGTGCTGCAAGAAGAGCTGAGGGCATCTGTCAAAGGGGCCAGGGTCGTGACACCGTCAGAGGGAGAGAGATGGTACAGGGGACACCTTACCTGAGAGGATGATGGGCTCCACCTCGTCGTACTCCCTTAGGACCCAGAGGAAGAGACGTGCCAGGTCCTGTGGGCACAAAGGAGCAGCTCTCAGTCCCTTTTCCCTCCCGGGAGCCACAGGATCCCAGCTCAGGGCATAGACACAAGCTCCTCTTTGCTGAAGGCCGGGGCTGTTGTATGGGGGCTGTTTGCCAGGAAGCTGAGCCTGCTACAGCGGGGCTGCTGCCCCCTCCGCCTCCAACTCAGCAGGGCAAAGCAGGAACAGCTCCAATCTCTCACTCCCGCAGCTGCCAGCTCCCTCCCTCTGCAGCTACCCTTCCGGGCCTTGCCACAAATGGCCTTTAAAGAGACCCCAGCCCTGGCTTGGCAGGAATAAACACAGTCATTCCAGTAGACACGGCCATGCTAACAGACAGAACCAGGATACCTCCGTCAAGGCCCAGCTCCCGGGAGCACGCGCCCACACGCTGCCAAGGCAGGGCCACTCTGAGCCCCTCTCCCCAGCTCGTGCACAGGGCTGGATGTGCAATCTGGGACCTGTCCTAGGTTTATTGCTCGTTATTTGTCAGAGGCACTTGCTCATCTTGGCAGCTTTATGTGGCTTATATAACGGCAACAGGGAGCTAACAGCACACCCAGGCCAGGGTTCTAGACAGCCTAGGCGTAGGCCAGCGTATAGCTGCAAAGGGTCACATGGCTTCAGAGCCTCCTCTGCCAGCAACCCCCGCCCATTAGAACACACCTCCCACTCCCAGAGGTGGAACTAGGGGACCCATCCCGCCAGAGCCCTGCTAACTGCTGCCAGCCTCCCAGGGCCAAGCAACCCATTCTCCCCGCCATGAGGTCAGGATGTCTGAAATCTGCTCTGGGCCCCAGGAAACTCAGGGCCCAGTCCAGCGGGCTGGACTCCGTGAAGGCCGTGCCTACCAGAGAGTAGATGAATTGTCTCCTGGGCTTTCCTGTCCCCCAGACGGTGAGAGCCGTGCCATTTTCTGTGGGACAATCACAAGAACGGCCATTAGTGGATGTTCCAACCGCAGCATTGGCCTGGTCGGCCACAGGTTCCCCCCCGCCCCCCGATCCAAACACCCTCATGCAACAGAGAGCCAGGGCTGGCCCGGGGTAGCTTTACATCACAGCCCTCCTCTCTAAAGCGGAGGTGCAGCCCCCAGAGACTACAGATCCCAGCATGCCATGCTCCAGCTTGACGTAAGGGGCTGTAAGTAGCCATGTGTGACACTACGCCCCATATTTTTCAGAGATATTATGATATAATTATAGCATATCCATGATGTATTTTATGCGAGATGGATCATGTGAGATATCATTGGAAAGGTTATGATTTACTGAATGTGATTATCCTGTTTATAGGCCTGTATCATTTCTGGATCTGAAGTTAGGAATATTGACTATGTATAAATTACAAGTGTGTTTACCCCTGGGGCACACCCACCAGATGGAATGCAATCAGTCTAGATAGCTCGCTATGAGAAAGGGCCATTAGAGAGGACAAGAGATCTCAGAAGATGTTTATCACCCACAGAGAAGTTCTTCCTGAGAATGCTGCAAACCAACTCTGAGTTATGGCTGCAAGGTCATGTGAGCAAGTCACCTGATACTGGACTCCAGGAATCATACCAGTATTTTTCCACTGACCGGAAGTGGGAATCACACTGGAAGACAAAGGAGTCCTGCCATATGTAAAACCTACTTAAGGCGGGGGAGTGACATAATCATGGTTCCCTCTTGACTGAATCCTGTCCCAAGATAAGAGCTGTAAACATCTAAGAAAAGACTGAATGAGGGGAGAAGGACTGAGCCTGTCTAGCTTGTGAATGAAATATCTGAAGTTTTAAGTTGCAAGCAAGTGCATCTGGCCTTCAAGAATCTCTACAATCTGCCTAAAACAACACTTAGGGTGAGAAATTACTTCTTGTAACCAGTTTCTTTAGTATCTTAAGCTTAGATTGCGTGTTTGTTTTATTTGCTAGGTAATTTGCTTTGATCCGTTTGCTATCATTGAAATCTACCTTTTGTAGTTAATAAACTTGGTTTTGTTTTCTCTAAAACCAGTTTATGGAATTTGTAACGGGGGGGGGGGAGGGGGGGAGAAAGGCTGTTGCATACCTTCCTCCACATTGAGGGAGGGGGTAAATTCCATGCTCTTACGTTGTATTCCCTTAGCTGAGCCTTCCCATACAGAGCTGATCTCAGCTGGGTGTGTCCCTACCTGTGTGTGCGCTGGTGGGGGCTTGAGAGCCTGTCACAGCAGCGCAGTGTAAAGGGAACCCAGGCTGGTGGGTCAGGCAGCTCAGTGGTACGCCAGTTCCAGGTGGCGCCCCAGGGGGAACCCGTCACACCATGGAGTCGGAATGGCCCTTCTCGGCTTCCTCACTGGCTGAGATTTGAGCATGGACCCCCTTCCCTGATGCTGCACAGAAATCACTTGCTAGTTTCACTCCTGCAGGGAGGGGCGATGCCCAGCCTAGAGCCAAGTGAGAAGGGAGGAATCCAACCATCATGGCTCTCAGGAACTTACCATCCAACAACTGTAGCAGAAAACCCTGTTAGCAACGCTGCAGCTAGGGCTGCCCGGAGCCATCCATGGCTCGTTAGAGGCAGGGAGGTTTAGTTGTACAGTAGGAAAAACCCACAGGGTTCCAATGGACTCCACAAATTGTGACACTGCAGCCTGGATGCAGATCATTCTGGGTGCCAATGGGTTAATCCTCCCATTTCCTGCCCCTCCCGCAAGCCCATCTTGTACCTGAGGATCAGTTCCATGCAGTTTGCTGCGTGTGTGTGTCTTTGAGACATGACCCGGGCTCCTCTTTGTATGTGTCCATTAATGAAACCATGGCACATGCGGGAGGGATCTGCCCTAATATCCTAGCTGAAATTCCCCTCTGTCTCCCATTCACAGTTGGGTGTTCACTTGGCAGCTGTCCTCCACCCCAGAGGCACCTGCATTTCAGTGGTGATGCTTGTGGAGCTCTACAGAAAGGTACATCGTCACCACTTTACAATTGCAGCGAAGGGCAACTTATGCTTACTAAACGCCTAATGCTTTCATTAGGAAATCAGCCCCATGATCTTCTCGTGGGGCAACCCCCTTCCTAAATGAGGGCCAGAAACTCCCAGGACATTACTGCTTTGCGTACATAAATTCAGTATGGCAATTCTCTATGCTGAGAGATGTAGACACATTCTGGATGGACCAAGAGCTAAATGGTATCTACTCAACATATCTGCAGCTATGAAACACCATCACCTCAGCAACCTCGATAGCACACCAAGCGGCCAGGCGAAGATCAGAAAGAAAAAGGGATTTTGCAAACTAAATAATTTATAGTAGCCCCTTCAGCTATGCAACTTAAAGCACTTCATTAACATTAGCCAGGTAACCCACATTTGAAGAAGGTAAGGGACATGCGAGGATCCATTCACCCACTGCAGAAATGCAGCAAGCTCTGGGGTGGAACATGGCACTTGTGTAACAACACACAGCAACACTTTCAGATAGTTTAGGGATAGGATGCGAAGAATGTCAGTTTCATTAGGAGCAAAAAAGTCACATGACTTCCCTCCCCCCAGCAGGAACTGTCTTTGCTGCCCATATTGCCCTGGCAACACAACCCTGTTGGGTGGACTATGAAGCTGAGAGCTGAATGAAGGCTCCCCACTCACTCTTTGCCAGGTACACCTTGTGGATCAGTCCCGGAAGGACATGCCCGTCCTCGATGTTGTAGTTATCATGAGGTCCGAAGACATTGGTGGGGATCACGGCGGTGAAGCGGCAGCCATGCTGTTCGAAATACCCCCTGGGAGAAGCGGGAGAGAGGGCCAGGGTAGGTGAGTGACTAGCTCAATGCCATGTTCTGTGCAGCTGAGGGCTGCGAGCACAAGTCACTGTCCCCCCCCTCCGTGCATCAGGGCTTAAGCCTGTTCTTCCAGCAGGGCTTAGGGAAATGAACTGGGGCTGGCCAGCCCCCCTGGGGCCCCTGCAAGTTCCATCCACCCCCAGCCTCTCACTCCTTGTGCCCGCTGAGGTCCGAGAGCACGGGGGGGAAGGAATTATCCTATAGTGACAGTGATAATATTTATACAGTCCTTCATCTGGGGATCACAAAGGTCTTTACAGAGATGTACGGACTGTGAGAGTCCCTCCCCTGAGCCACACAGCTCGGGGCTGGGGCAGAGCAGGGAGGGGATGGACCATACCTGTTCTGAACGTCAATCATTCTCTTGGCGTACGAATACCCAAAATTGGAGCTGTGCGGGGGCCCGTTGTGAATCTGGTGAAACACAGTAGATGGCACGGTTGGGAAAAGTAACGGCAGCTTGATGAAAATGGGGTTTCAACCTCCGGTGCCTGGCCCCCAGGGGAAGGAGGCGTAGGGAGAGTAAACAGGAGCGATGTCTGCACGGGAGCTTGACACCTAGGTTAGCCTAACCTGAGTGCGAGCGTCCACACAGCAAAGCTCTCCCCGTGCCCCCATGTCCTCGCTGTATCTGCACTTGCCTGTGTGTGTTTGGGGGGGCGTATCCCGTGGTTCTTTGTGACGAGACACTCTAGGATTCTTTCCCCCATCAATCAGGTCAATTGCAAGAGAACTTATCTGTCCTTCAGGAAGGGATTGTGGGAAGGCACCGGAGGACTATTGGCACTCCCGTGATTTAGCCTGCATCCTCACTGCAGAGTAGGTGGGTTCCAGCCCAGACCCTGGGCTCTGACTTGTACTGTACCCCCAGCGGGGTCAGCCAGCCCAGGCTTACAGCACCCCCAAGACCAGGCCAGAGCTTTCTGAAGGTGGACAGTGGGGAGCAGGGGGCTGGTGTTAAGGCTAGAACCCAGGTAAGAGCCCAGATTAGCTGTGCAGCGTTGACATATCCTGAGTTCGGAGGGAGAGAGCAGCCTCCTGGAGCCCCTCGATCCGCTGAAGGGGAAGCTGTCCTCACCTGCCAGCCCTGGGCTCAGCTCGCATCAAAGACAAGTCACAGGCAGGCAGAGATGGCAGGAATCCTCTATGTCCCCTTATTCCCCTTGAGCCGGTGTTGCAGGGCTGCCCGCCTGTTTCTGCCCGAGGAGGATGGGACAGGACTTGCACTGGACCTGATGATCCTGCTCCTTGTTTGGCCGGAGGGATCGCTGTTGAGCAAGGCAGGCGCGCCGCACTCTGCCCGACCCCACGTGCACGTCAGTGCAATGAGGGAGGGACAGCCCCCACGGCGGTGCAGAGAACTAGGATGCAGGTACTGGGCCAACCTGACCAGTTACGGCACAGGCCTGCATCAGAGAGCTTCAGGAATCCCAGCCCAGGCAGGACGCTAGCCAGACGGGTCAGCTCTGCTCTCCCCATCACCCACCCACCCACCGAGTCAGCCAGCCAGGGCGGGAAAGAAGACCAGAGTCAAGATGACCAGCTGTCACTCTCTCAGATCAGCGTAACTGGCATCACAGTAAGCTGTCCACCCGCTGCACTGAGGCAGCCCCTAATGATCTCCCCCCCCCAAGGTGCACGGTAACTTAACCAACGTTACTGTGCTTAACCCACAGCTCTGGGCGGAGCAAAGGCGAAGCTGAGTGAGCGACGGGAGTTGTAAGGCACGGTGCTGCGTGCCCAGCCCGAAGGCCGTCCCTTACCATGGACTCGTCGATAGGATAGGTGGTCTTGTCCGGGAAGATGCAGGTGGAAAGGCAGGAGACGACTTTCTGCACTCCGAATTCGTATGCTGAGTGAAGGACGTTGTCGTTGATGTGCACATTTCTCCGCTGGGGAAAAGATGTCCAGCGGGGAGTTAGGAGTCCCGTTATACTCGGATCAGTTACTGCACGACCCACCTGGGCCTTCCAGCATGTCAAGAACCTGACCCGTCTCTGAAGTCGCAGGCTAAGGACGGGGAATGGGTCGCCATGGAGCTCTCAGGCTAGTCTCATTGGTGGTACCAGAGTTGAACGACCGAGGGCTGAAGGGATAGTCCTTGGGGGAGACCCCAAGCTTGTCTCTGGAGTCAGCAGTGGGATCAACGCCAACCGCTCAGGTCTGGACTTTACCTTGCATTCCACCTCTCTCACAGCCGTGTCAGCTCTGGACACTGCGAAGGCCTCACTCCCCAACCCACAGCTCCTGCCAGAGGGCTGTCACTGCCCCCCCCTCAGGGAGTTCAGCTGCTCGGGTTGGTGCTATGGGGCTTTCAGGCCCCCTTATCTATGCACAGCCCTTTCATACTGTTGCTCCCCAACCCCTCCCCAGGCACAGCCCCTGCACGTACCGGGCTGGGCGGGGAACAGACCAGCATTTTTTTCCTCAATGTTGATCCTCAGCCAGGTGAAGGGAGACCAGACGAGGAGACGCGCACACAGAGCAGTGAGCCAGGAGGGCCACACGTTACCCAGCCCAGGACTGTATCAGCAACTTGCCAGGTGCTGAAGGACTGCACTTAATATGAGTAGGAAGGAGCAGATACCAGCCACCATGTGAAGACTACACATCCCAGAATGCAACGTTCCATCTGGAGTGGAGTGAAGACTGCTCAGATCAAGGAGGAGCATTGCATGCTGGGACTTGTAGTCACCATGGATTGTTCTTCTGTATTACAGATAAGGTGACTGCAGGCCGCTGAACCGCATGGGCCAGCCCCAAGAAATCTAACCAAGCTAGGTTGACCTGGTGTGTGTGTGTGTGTGATTCAGAGAGGAGGGCCAGGGGGTCCAACACCGGCTGCTAATAAGCTGCACCCCTTCATATTAGAGAGTCACTCACCAGCACCTGGGGAGAGAATCATCCCAGCCAAGGCCCTGGGGTTAATCTCTGGATGCAGGGCTAGTGCTGGGGACAGTTCATTAGCCCCACAAGTGCCCTGGTGGGAAAGTGGTTCCCAGTTCAGCAGCTCTCACAGGGCCCATACACTGTAATCACACGTCTTGGTAACCCAACAAGAGGAGTCCCACCTGCAGTGTCAGAAGGCCCAGCACCCAAGGGGTTAATGACTTTATCCACCCATTTAATAAGCCTGCGCGTCCTGGGCTCTATTTCTGGCCCTGTCACACACTCCACGTGTGACCAAGGGAAGTCATGTCTCGGTGCCTCAGTTTCCCTACAATTACAATGGCGCTAACACTAACCTACAGCCTGGAGGCAGGGGGTGCGGCGAGGGTTAATTCATGAATGTCTGCAAAGCGCTCCCAAGTCCTTGGAGGAAGGGCAAAGGGGGACCACACAGCACAGTGCCGGCTCGCTGGACCCGACGTTACACCTTTGCATTTGCCAGCCTGGCCCCTTACCCAGAAATCCAGGTTGTATTTGATGTTTTTGAAGAGGCCTCCCACCAAGGCTGCCAAGTGGATCACGTGGGTGGGTCTGTGTTTCTCATACAGGGCTCTGGTCTCCGCCGCGTTCCTATGGGGAGAGGAAACAACAAACAGAACCCTCAGGGGCACGTTCTAGCCATCCTAGGTACCTATCTGGCCCCCAGGACCACGGTATCTGAGCACCTCACAGTCTTTGATGTATTCAGCCTCACAACCCCTGGGAGGCAGGGCAGTGCTATTATCCCCAAATTACAGGTGGGAAACTGAGGCACACAGTGACTTCCCCAAGGTCACACAGGGAGTCCAATTCCCTGCTCTGCCACAAACCCAGATCTCCCGCGTCCCAGATCAGTGTCATCACCACTGGGGCATCCACATGCCAGTTGGACCCTATGCTGCGGGCTGGCTGCCATGAGATGGGAGCAGATGGCGGGGGAAGAGGTGTGGAAGGAGCCTGGTGCCAGACCCTTGACCCAGCAAGCTCCGTTAACGAGCAGTTAACTAACCGACTGTACAGCAGTGGCAAGAGCATCCTGGGGAACGAAGCTGAAGGCAATAGCCGGCCCGTGTCCCCTTTAATTCCCAGTCAGGTAACACTCCAGGGATAACGCTGGCAGTAAAGGAGCTCCGTCATGCTGCTTAGCATTAGTATGGAGCGTGGCGGCTCCCACGACTGGGGAAAGCCTTATGGATGCTTGTCAGAAAGAACAGCAATAAATGTAAAAATACCTGAGAAGTGGAAACCCCGAGCAGGGAGAGGAGTTACTTAGTGCAGCCCCAAGGAGGAGAACTAGGAGTAACAGGATGGAAAAGGAAAGGTTAGGGACGGACGTCAGGAAAAGCTTCCTGAAAAAGGAGTCAGCGGCAGAAGAAGTGGGTCTCAAGGGAAGGGGCTAAAGAAGCAGGAAAGAAAATATGCTGGCGGGAACAATCCTGCATGTCAGTTACACAGCTCTTCTTATCCTCAAAGCATTTTACACAGGTAACTAACGGGCCCGCACAGCACCCCTAAGCAGTGCGTTGTACAGTAAGAGAAACCGAGGCACAGAAAGGTGATGGTGACTTGCCCAAGGCCAAAGAGGGAGTCAGTGTCAGGGCGAGTTAGAACTCAAAGAGTTCCTGGCTCCCAGCCTTGTTCTCAGGAGGCAGTAGGCTGATCTTGCTGCTGATTAAATGCCACTCCTGTTAGCACAAGGAGCGTCAAACAAACCTACAGCACAAGGACAATGAGTCTTCTTGCCTCATGAGGGTTTGATAGTTGTGTGCTGGCAATATCTTTTATTGGACCAACTTCTGTTGGAGAGAGAGACCTGAAGAAAAGCTGACGTGTAAGGTAACATCCTGGGAACAACGTGGCTACAACACCATATCACTAAAACCAGACTGGATGAAAGCCCTGGATGGACCAGACAGGACCTCTATTCAGTCACTCGGACTGTCTGACTCTCACCCGGAAAGGGGGCGGGGCTCAGGGGAGTGGCATACTTGGGGGAATGTGATTGGACCCGGTGACAGCATGGACTGAATTGCCAAAGAGAGGGTATCGTTTAACTTCCCTTGGCTGGGATTGGCCAGGCTCCTTGCCTGGTGCTACAACAGGCAGCACAGAATGACGTGGCAGCTGCAGGAGTGAAAATAGCATGTCGATAGGAAGCCAGCAGATGGAGAGCTCAACAGCAGAGCTAGTGGATAGATCCAAAGGACAGGTCTCGTTAGCCTAGCCCCGGCATGGTCCTACAGCACCCCTCACTCACACACAATACTCCTGACGTCCATCTACGTGAGGATCAACACAGCCCAGACCCCGAACGCAGTCGGGGTCTCCAGCGCGCTGCATTTCCACTACACCAGAGGCCCATGAAATAGAAGCACTTATACCCTGCCCTCTGCCCGACTTCTTCTGGAACAGAGCTGCTCCCTGATCAACCCCACGGCCCCGGTCACCGGCAGATCCTCTGAGCCACACGCCGCATCTGGCCAGCCACCTCCAGCTAATCTGACATCAGACTTTTGAATACGCATCCAGTTTGCTTTCGTTTCACGACGCTGCACCTGGGAGGGGAGTGGGCGTCCCGGAGCAAAGCTGGCGCTAACACATGCGAGGCAGCTGCAATGGGCTCATTCTGTGGCTGTCTCAACTACTCCAAAAGCCAGTTTAAACCAGAAGTGAACATGATTTTCCTACCCTCCACACTTAGGGTACGTCCACACAGCAGAAGCTGCACGTGGGCTAGCCGACCGGAGCTAGCTGGAATCCAGCTAGAGTGGGTAACCATAGCAGTGAAGACAGCACAGCGTGCACAGTGCAAACCCAGCATGGACCCTAGGTACGTACTCAGCTTGCTAGCTCGTGGCCGGCTTTTGCTGTGTAGACACACCTTTAGTGGGAAGAAAGAAAGTAAGGGGCTGACAGTATCCGCTTAAGTCAGGCTCTGGCCATGCAGTTGTGCCAGCGCAACTCCACCCTAACATACAGCACCTTCCTGCTAATCCAGCACTAGGGCTTCACACACAGCTCTGCCAATGCTCCTCACCACCAGCAACGCCCATTGCTAGCTCCGTTCCTGGGCGTCTCTGGAGAAGAGACTGCCTGTCATTCCAGAACCACGTGGGAGTTTTGTAACAGGGTCTGAGACGAGGCACAGCCCTCCGCGCCACCCACATCATTTTCCACTTGTCTGCCGAGGATTTGAACCCTGCTCTCCCGAGACACTCCCCCAGCGAGCCACCCCAAAATGGATAGGGACATTTCAGACAACAATGAACAAGCACAGAAGAGTCCAGTGCAGCAAGGATATTGGAGATGTATTGGAATTGGAAAAGGTTCAGAAAAGGGCAACAAAAATGATGAGGGGTACGGAACGGCTTCTGTATGAGGAGAGATTAATAAAACTGGGACTTTTCAGATTGTAAAAGAGACGAGTATGGGGAGATATGATTGAGGTCTATAAAATCATGACTGGTGTGGAGAAGGTGAATAAGGAAGTGTTATTTATTCCTTCTCCTAACACAAGAACTAGGGGTCACCAAATGAAATCAATAGGTAGCAGGTTTAAAACAAACAAAAGGAAGTTTTTCTTCACACAACACACAGTCGCCCTGTGGAACTCCTTGCCAGAGGATGTTGTGAAGGCCAAGTCTATAACAGGGTTCAAGAAGGAAGTAGGTAAGTTCATGGAGGATAGGTCCATGAATGACTATTAGCCAGGGTGGGCAGGGATGGTGTCCCTAGCCTCTGTTTGCCAGAAGCTGAGAATGGGCGACAGGGGATGGATCACTTGATGACTCCCTGTTTTGTTCATTCCCTCTGGGGCACCTGGCATTGGCCACTGTCGGAAGACAGGATACTGGGCTAGATGGACCTTTGGTCTGACCCAGTCTGGCCGTTCTTATGTTCTTAAGGACTCACGTTAAGTCAGCATCCTTGGAGCACACGAAGATCCATTCCTCATCTGGCCTGCCCTCTCCATCAGCAACCACCTTCTCAATGCCTCTCCCCACCAGTCCGGTGCCACCGGTTACCAGGATGCGCTTTGGCTTCGTTCCTGCCGGCTCTGCCATGGCTACAAATTCTGCAGGGCGGGAGGGAAGGCAATTAATCCCAAATCATCTCAGTGCTGAGATTCACGCTGCAAACCTGCCTGGCCCGATGCAACTGCAGAAGCCAGGGGCATGTGTGAGCTGAACAGGGGCAGAGATCCTGGCAGGGTGAGCAAACCTGGCTTCCCACTTCCTCCATGTCACCAGAGAGGTCATCAAGCCCCCACTTGGAAGGCAGTGGGCAAACTAGGGTCCTGAGTAGGTCACGAGGGCAGTGGGAAACACAGCTGTTGCAAGGCAGCTGCCCCACAGTTAGTGGGGAAGAGATCTAGCTAACCTGTGCCCTTTCCATCCCTCCACTGCCATCCAGTGGCTGCTTGGTGAAATGAATTGCTGGATGCAGGAGGAATTTCCCCTGTTTTGGAGCACAAGTTTTAATAATCTTTCAAGGCCTCTTTAATAAAAGCACAAGACTCAGAGAGAGTTCTATGGGCATTAAAAGGACATCATCCATGGAGCAGTCACCGCCTGAAAACACCTACCATTGTCGCAAGTAACCCCTACGATCACTAGAACTTAAAGCAATTGGAGACTTTTTTCTAGTTTGTTTCCTTTGGGCAACTCTTGCAATTTATTTAAGCAACTAAAAAATATTTTTGTATATGCTAGTTAAAGGGTGTTTTAAAAGAGCACTGATTTTTTACAAAATGGTTAATAAAAAAAACTCAGGTTATCAGTGTTCCTTAATTTAATTATTTTTTTAATAAACCAGACACACTTCACGTTGAGGACATCACTGAAACTTTTTGACAGTGTCTCGCATTTAGGTTTTGTTTGGGCAGAGAGTGCTGGTAAAGCCCAGTATGAAAAGAAACGTTTTAAGAGATTCTCAAAAAAGTTTATGGGAGAGGGTTTTCTTGGATTTATATCTGCCCCTGCAGAGCCCTGAACACAGAAAAGAAAGCAACAGAGGGTCCTATGGCACCTTTGAGACTAACAGAAGTACTGGGAGCATAAGCTTTCGTGGGTAAGAACCTCACTTCTTCAGATGCAA